GGCCCTGGCCCACAGCGGCTCGTCGTCCTCGCCTGTGAAGTCGGCGGGCGCTTTGGTTCCGAGGCGTTCGACCTTGTTCGCCGCTTGGTGCGCGTCCGGTCGCTCCGCGCCCCTGCGGCACTGCGCCGCTCTGCTGCCGTTGCGTGGCAGCGCCGGTGGTGGGGCCTCCTCGGCGTAGCTCTCCAGCGCGCCGTGGTGTCCACCCTGCTGGGCGGCGCTTGGCTCTCGCCCGCCAAAGCCACAATCGAGTATTTCCTGCAAGACGGATGAATAGCAAACTGCTTGTACGCGGAGGCCAGGTCCAAAACCGTCAGCAAAGGTTGCCAATTGTCACTAGAGCTCACAGTGGCGCTTCCAGCACCTCGCCTGACGACAGGACAAGCCTGCGCTACGACGCGCAGCTTCGCTGGCGGCGGGAGCCGAGCAGACCCGCGGTGAGCGGGACGAGGCGACGCGCATGGCACCCGCCGGTGAGGCGGGCGCGCGCATGGAGCCACTGTCGTGGCGCGCAAGCGTCAGGCTTGCTCCAAAGAGAATAACCCTAAACCCTCTGGTCTAAGGGGGGCTGAGCGTCTGAGTCCTCCTTTATAACGCCTTGATAAAACGGTCATTGGCTGCGATAAAACGGCCATTGGCCTTGACAAAGCGGCCGTCTTTAGCTAGTCCTTGATAAAACGGCCATCAACCTTGATAAAACGGCCATCAGCTTTAGCTCGGCCTGGCCGCTGATAAACTGCTTGCATGGGACAATATGAAATCGGCCATCGGCAGCCCGGATCTAGAGATCTATCTGGTACTTGGCCGCTTCTTGTTGAAAAAACGGCCATTGGCCTGGCCTTCATAAAGCGGCCATTGTTGTAACGCAATCCGATCACGGGCGGGAGGCTGCAGCTGTAGCGGAATCTCGACTGCGGGAGCGCAGGCCACGGGAGTGCCGCGCGCGCGGGAGGCTGCAGCACAAACCCAGAGCTGCGGAGGCGCGGAGATGCTAACACTGGCCCTCCGCATGCGCGGGGGCTGCAGCACAAACCCGTAGTGGCGCGCGGAAATGCTAAAACTGGCACCTCCGCAATCCGATCACGGGAGTGCCGCGCGCGCGGGAGGCTGCAGCACAAACCCATAGCTGCAAGAGGCCCGGGACGAACGTCGTGCAGTGTTTCGAGGGACTGGTATTGCCATTCGGGTCAACTGCGAGCGTGGTGCACTTCAACAGGGTGTCCAAACTCCTGCGCAGCATCGGCTTCAGGCTCAACCTCCTGTGGCAGCCTGCTGCGGATGCGGCGCCGGACCTCGGCGACGTCCTCGGCCTCGGGGACGCGCCTCTTCCCAGCCGCCTGCCCCTGCGAGGGTAGTCGTATGGCGTTCTTCTCGCCTTTGCTGCCTTCTTTGTCTCGCCTCCTTCGGCGCCGGTCCCAGTTTCACCGCGTGGGCAGACGCAAAAAGGTGCGCGCAAAAAAAAAGAAAGAAAACTAGGCAGAAAGATAGATACAAGGTAGAGAGAGGGAGAGATAGATAGGTAGATCGATAGGTAGATAGCGATAGATACACCAAACATCAGCATTTTTTTGGCAGGACGAGGGTGTAAGCAATAGCCAAAAGCCGTAGATAGATGTCTAGACACAGAGAGAGAGAGAGAGAGAGAGAGGGCGAGAGGTAGACATAGACAGATGCATAAGTAGATAGAGAAGATAGAAAGACAGAGACAGAAAGAAAGAAAGAAAGAAAGAAAGAAAGAAAGAAAGAAAGTCAGTGGAAAAACAAGTGAGAAATAGAGAGGGATAGGTTAGATGGATGGATCGAGCTTGTTGTTATTCTCGCTCTCCATCTACCTAGCTATCTATCTACTTGTTTATCTACGAAAAGTGCTGTGCCTGCCACGGAATTTTCGCGACCTTGCGAAAGTTCAGCGCTTGTCACGAAATGTTGTAGGGCGTCTAAAACACCAAGTTTGCAGCTGGGCACAACGTTTAAGCGTGCAAATTCTGGGCGGGCTGGCCAGAATCTGAATGATTTTCCGCCGTTGACGCACTACTCTTGTGGAGGAGGGGTAACAACCCTCGTGCTCATTGCATTGGCCTGCTGTGGGCGCACGGGAACTGTATGCCCGCTATTTTGTTGCGCTCGCAGCAAGGTTTTCATACCCGTTAGCTCCCTACAGTTGCCTATGCTCTTGTTGACAGCGCAGAGGGCGCAGACGGTGCAGATGGTGCAGGCGGCGCAGAGAGCGTAGATGGCACAGATGGCGGAGACAGTGCCAACAGCGCCGATGGCCCAGGCGGCATAGACGGCGCAAACGGCGCAGACGGCGCAAACGGCGCAAATGTCGTTAGGCGCAGACGGCGCAGCGGCAAGTGCGGGCATGTTTTTCGCCCACACTGAACAATTAGATAGAGATTTACATAGTTAGGAGAAATGTAGACAGATAGATAGAAAGATGGATGGATAGATGGAGAGGGAAGAGATATGGATAGGACTAGATTATATAGATTGGGTTAGGCAGGGGATACACGCATACAACGGTAGCTTTGGGCAAGTCATCTGCACGCGGCCTGACGGGACTGACAGGGCCGACGGACCTGACGGGCTTGAAAGAACAGACGAATAGATAAACAGACTAGATAGATTTTACAATATATAGACTAGGTTGGGTCAGAACTGACTAGATGACAAACAAATAGACAGATAGATAGATGAATAGGTGCAAAGAGAGACGCATGGACGAATAGGCAAGCACGCACGCAACGGTAGCTTTGGGCAAGTCATCTGCACGCGGGTCCGTGGCTTCTATCAGGTCTGAACCTGTTTGCCCGTGTCGTTAGCAGAGCCAAAGCTCCCGTTCAATTCGTCTCTCAGAGCGCTTTTCTTTTTTCCCAAGCATCTCTGATGTGATGGGTTCTCGGTCTACAATGGGAGCGTTCATGGGGCGCGGACGGGGCGGCTGGTAATATTTGGACTCCGAGTTTTAGCAAACGGCCGTGCTGGTGGGATTTGGGCAGCCGGTGGGATTCGGCACAGCCTGTGACAACTTCTACTGGGCTTGAATGGACCTTGCCGAACGCCTCCTTGCTGCCCTCCAGTTGCGCCAAGGGCGCCATTAGGGCTTCAGATGTTCGGCGGCCTGTCGTGAGGCAATATCCTTAGTGCGGCCCCTTTGCCTCGACGGCGGTGGGCTCGGTTGGGCTCGGCTTGCGCAGTGCTGTGTCCCTTGTGGCCCGAAGTTGCGCTGCCCTCTTGCTTGCGCGGGCCGAGGCAGGGTGTGCCACACCCTCGAGGCGCTCCTGCAGCCTGGCGCCGATCCCCCCAACTTGTTTTTTTGCCCGCGCCATTTTCCATCACCTGGCTCTCCCCCCCTTAGGGGATGCTCCCGGGCACAACGGGTCTCGGCAGCTGTTTTTATGGAGGCTAGCTCCTCACGTGCACGGCGGCCCCCGGCCTCAGCGGGCCGGGCATCGGCTGGCGGAAGGGGGCCCGGCACCGCTGTCTGCAAGCAGCTCGCCAAGAGGCGGCAAACTGCCATCAAGATTGCAATGCTGCGCCCCGACCGGCATGCCCGTCAAAGAGACGGCAAAGGCGGACATCGCGGCATGCGCCAAGAGCGCGGACCAGCGCGCGACAAGCACGGATCGCAAGCTGGTCCGGAGCCTGGCGGGGGCCTCGCGCGCCTTGGCACGCGCAAGTGAGCGCACAAAAGAGGCGGCTTCGTCACTCCAACCGCCGCCGACCTCGATTGCGAGCACGACCAAGCGGCATCTGGCGGAGCGAAGGAGCTCGGGGTACGTCCGCTCCTTGCGGCGGCGAGCGTTGGCCAAGGCAGCTCCAGCAACACGGCCACCCCTCCGGCAAGGCTGACCCTGGCTGGTCAATGGCGACACAAGGGTGGTGTCAACCGCGAGCTGCTGACCCCCCCACAAAGGCAAGCCGTTTGCAACAACCTCCAGCCGGCTGCCGTCTACCCGCTCGACTTGGAGGTTCATGTCAGCAAGCCGCGTGTTACATGTGACTCTGGCGGTGGTCGCCAACGGGCCTTCTGCACGCGCTTTGGACCACACCTCAACAGCAGTACCCCATGCTATTTCGCCGCAGCTTCGGGGGCTCCAAGCGCCCAGCAGTCGGGGCGCATACAGCCAAGAACTGGTTGGCGCTGCGGCCCGCTCGCGGCCTCATTTGCAAACCGAGCGGCTTGGTCCTGGGAGCTGAGGACCCCCCTTACCTCAGCACCGACGCAGCCCCTCCTGTGCCAGCGGCATGTGGCGCCTTTTCCACTGCTTCCTCAACCTCGCTGGCAGTCATGCCGGTCTCATCGCCTTGGGAGCACTGCCGCAGGGCAGGTGGAGCCGGATAGCAAGGTGCCCACGAGACCATCCTGGCATGGGGTCCCGTGCCACTAGGAATGTCCACGCCAACTTTCGTGCCCGCCGTCTACCGAGTTTGTTCGATCGTCGCAATTTGTTGGACATAAGCATCATCAGGCATCCCACGACGACACCTGCTGAACGCACGAACGTGTTGACAACTTGCTAGGATCGTAGGTGTCGATGTCACGCGCGGAAGCAATGTTATCGCGGAACAAGGGCAAATGTTCTGAGAGATGCTGCTGCGTCCGACGTTTTTAATATGTTTGTTTGCTTAGATTTGCGTGCGTCCCTTGCCAGTCGGGCACTCTTTCGGCTATTTTTTTTGTGTTGTTCCTTGGGGTTCCAGGCGGGTGGACGGCGCTGCACATCGCAGCTGGCTTTGGCCATTTGAGCAGCTTGGCAGGGATTCAGTTTTCTGGAACAACGTCTTGTGTGTTCCTCGGGCGATTTTGCAACTTGCTCTTGACGTGCGCGAATTTCTGCCCGAGGTGTTGTTGAAGCTTTACTGGCCGGGAAGGCAGCGAGAGCATTTTCATTGCACAGATCGGCATTGGCGATGATCAAGTAGCATTTGCTGACAAGCTTGGTGCAATAGTTTGTGGTTTTATAGCCATTTATTGGTCTCAAATCTTTGGAGCCATGCCCATCACAACCATGCCTCCTGTCAAAGCAGCCTTGACGAGGCCGAGGCGTGTGCCTTGGATGGTGATGGTCGCAGTGCGCTTGATTGGGCTGCGCGGGCCCAAGGTTGTTCTGCCAACGATGCCGGAGTTGTTGTTTTCAATAGGTGGGTCTCCTTTGGGCATTGACTGTGTGGTGTGTGTGTGTGTGTGGGTGGGTGGGTGGGTGTGTGGGTGGGTGTGTGGGTGTGTGTGGTGGTGGGTGGGTGGGTGGGTGGGTGGGTGGGTGGATTGGTGGGTGGGTGGGTCTGTGTGGGTGTGTGGAGATGTTTTTTTTTGAGTGATGAAGAAAAACGTTTGCAGGGAAAATCGGCACACGTGCCAGGAGGTGCGAGGGCAAGGCCCGGTGGCAAGTGCCTTGCAGCGTCATCAGCGCTTGCAAGGGCTGCTAGAAGAGCAGAGTGCCAAAGCGCGGACAGATGTGATCCTCGGATTGATGGGCTTAGCGCGGAGCAGCCCAAAGAGAAACCAAACACGTGGCTCAAAGCGGAAAATCAGAGTTTTCTAAGCGCTTTTCGCGCGTGCGCGGAGTCCGCGTCGAGCGGGCCGAGGAGCTCCCAGCTCTTCGCCGCGGAGGCGCGGGCGGCGCAACTGGCCCAGGAACTGGCGGCCAAGATGCGCCCCTCGGCGAGTCAACGTGTTTTGGTGGGTAATTTCATCGGGGATTGGAGAAGTGCTTCTTCACAGATGCAGCACCAATGTGTGGATTGGAGATGTGATTGTTCAGTGTGGCTTCAGCATCGCAGATGGCATTGCCCTTGACTCATTTTTTTGCTGATCACTGCCGTGAAGACGCATCTTGAGCGCTTCGCATTGAACATGGCTTCTTCATCTCATGTAAATGCTTTAGATACCCGACGCAGTTGCAAAGACCAAGGGCCACTGCAGCCCGAAGGCCGGAAAGACGTCGCTTTGCTGAATTCTTTTGGCGCTTCTGATCTGAATTGTGTTATTTTGCTGCGCCATGCAGTGGGCGTGTGGCGCCATTCTTAGGCGGAAGGGACCTGACAAGTTGCGGATATCAGCTGCACTGAGGACCGGCAGCTGGAGGGTCGGAGGCTCATGGCTTTGGCGCTCCACGCGCTTTTGGCATGCCAGTGTTTTTGTGGGCTTTGGCCTGACACTGGTCAAGCGGAATACCATTGTTTCTGGCTTGCTGCTTCGCGTGGCCAAGGCAGTAGGCTGTCTGAGGCGGAGCAGCGCCCCTCGGCGAGAGGTTTGGAGCAGCGAGCCTGCGGATATGTTTTTGGAAAGTTGTGACAGACCTTGAGCGTGGAGCGAGTGTTGACAGCAGTTTTGGTAAGGACACGTAAGGACGTGAGCAAGATTTGGATAAAAGCGTGCGAAGGCCTGAGTCAGCTGGAGGAGCAATTGCTGGGAGCAGAAGCTGATGAAGGCTGGGGCAGCAAGGAAAAAGGCATGAAAAGAGATCGAGAGAGCGGTGTGGCTGTCCATGTAGGTTTATACATGTTCAAACGCAACCTGGATGACAATGGCTGTTACTGCTGTCAAATCACTGAAGCTTTCTTATCACAAGAAACTTCAATCAATGCAGGATGACTGGGCACATTGCTGGATCCGTGAGTATCCAAAATAAGGGACCCCCCCACCATTGCATCGCCGGGGGGGGGGGGGGGAAGGGGTTCTAACTTCTAAAAGAAGGGCAAGAGATTGACGGGGGTGGCGGTGCTGTCTGCGCTGCTGGTGATCAGGGGGCTGGGGCATGCTGTTTGGGTATTTGAGCGAGATTCTCGGTCCGCGAGTGCTGTTTGGGGTGCTGGGCGCGCTTTTGCGATTGATGTCAGTGGGTGAGTGCGTCGCTCCTGAATGTGGGAAAACCGTCGCTTCGGAACGCTGATTAAAAATTGCAAGCGTTCGGAAGTGATTGTCTACCTATTAGGGTGCTGGTGCGGGTGGTTTTGGGGGGGCTGGTGACGGCTGCGGGAGATTGACGGCTGGTGCAGGTTCTATTTTAGACCGCCAGGTGTGTTTTTGCGAGATTAGGGCATGCAACTTGGGATTTTTGTGCAGGTGTTGTTCTGGGATGATGTTTGGGGTGTTGAGGTGCTCTTCGGGCAGTGCTGTTTGAGGCGCTGGCGTGCAATCGTTAGCACATGTTTTGTTATGTGAGGTCTATGCTGGTGCATGTTTTGCCGTGTATCACAACAAGCACCCTCCAAAAAGGGACTCACAAGATTGCTTGGATATCCCGGATATCTCCATGGATGTAAAGGATTTTTTGGTTTTCAGGGTGGGTGGCTTTCGGCTTTTTGATTTTTGTGGCTTTTACGTTGGTTTTGTGGCTTTTGTGGCTTTTCATTTCGCATCCTCTGCATTCACACTTCCTCTCTGTTTGTCTTTGTGGGTTCATGCGGCTTTTGCGGCTTTGGCTTTTCGCATCCTCTGCATTGCATTGCCAGTTTCGCTGCGGCAGGTAACTTTTTGGCTTTGTGGCTTTTGGCGGCTTTTCGCATCCTCTGCTTTCCCAGTTGGTTTTTGGCCTCGCCACCCCCTTTCGATTAAAATGCACGATCATCATGCGACAGCTACTTTTTAGATTCTTTGCCCCTAATTGAATCATCACTTTTTCGATCATCATGGGGGGGGCTGCCGCCCTCCCAACACCCCCGCTACGTTTTAGGTGTTTTGCAGGGATTGCGCCCGTATTTGAATCCTCACTTTTAGCATCATGAGGGGGACCCGCCCCTCTTTTTAACATGCGTACATAAATGCCTACCTTGCCGGAGAGGAACTGATGATGCTGAAGATGTAGGAACCTCGATTTGCTGGTGATGCTGGGGATGTTGGCTGGACATGTTGAAAACGATGCTGATGATGTTGATGGACTAGCGTAAAATACGTACATTTCGTGAGAAAATGTTGTAAAATGCAGCATTTCACTAGCCAGGGCGGAAAAAACAAAAAAAACTAGAGGACGATTGGCCCGAAAGCATTTTTGCACAGGTGCTCATCCAGCCGCGGGGACAACTTTTTACATCGCTGCGGCGAGCGTGTCTATTCGCGGCGATGCTCAATGTGTATGGTCACATGAGAGCTCCATCTCATCATCCTAGTTTCCTCTCGAACTGCGCCGCGCGATTTCTCACGAAAGTGGTCTGCGCAAGCTGCATTGTTCCAGGCTGCTGCGCGCAAGTGCTCTCTGCAAGGTGCTGCACGCAAGTGCTCTGTGCAAGTTGCTCTGCGCAAGTGCTCTGAGCAAGTTGCTCTGCGCAAGTGCTCTGCGCCAGTTGCTCCGCGCAAGCGCTTTGCTCATGTTCTCTGTGCAAGTTGGTCTGTGCAAGTTGCTCTGCGCCAGTTGCTCCGTGCAAGCGCTTTGCGCATGTGCTCTGTGCAAGTTGCTCTGCGCAAGTGCTCTGGGCAAGTTGCTCTGCGCAAGTGCTCTGCGCCAGTTGCTCCGTGCAAGCGCTTTGCGCATGTGCTCTGTGCAAGTTGGTCTGTGCAAGTTGCTCTGCGCAAGTGCTTTGTGCAATTGCTCTGTGCAAGTTGCTCTGCGCAAGTTGCTCTGCGCAAGTGACTCTGCGCAAGTTGCTCTGCGCAAGTGCTGCCGGAGCTGTGGGAATGTACTTCGCGTATTAATTTTGTACTTGAAAGTTGCGATTTTCCAGCCGGAGCTGCGGGGGTGTGCTCCGCTTACTACGTTAGTACTTAAAAATTGCGATTTTCCAGCCTGAGCTGCGGGAGCACGCTCCGCACACTACGTCTGTACTTAAAAGTTGCGATATTCCAGCCGGAGACACGCTCCGCGTACTACGTTTGTACTTAAAAGTTGCGATTTTCAAGCCGGAGCTGCGGGGGTGCTCCGCGTACTACGATTGTACTTAAACACGCTCCGCATACTTCGTCTGTACTTAAAAGTTGCGATTTTCCAGACGGAGCAAGCTCCGCGTGCTACGTTTGTATTGCGATTTTCAAGCCGGAGCTGCGGGGGTGTGCTCCGCGTGCTACGATTGTACTTGAAAGTTGCGATTTTCCAGCCTGAGCTGCGGGAGCACGGTCCGCATACTACGTCTGTACTTAAAAGTTGCGGTTTTACAGCCAGAGCTGCAGGAGCACGCTCCGCGTACTACGTTTGTACTTAAGAGCTGCGAGTTTCAAGCCGGAGCCGCGGACCAGGGGGGAATCGAACCCGCGACCGCGGGATTGCGAAAGCAGGCGCGCAAACCACGAGACAACTTCCAAAGGCCGCTTCGCGAGCAAGAAAATTGCACGGCGCCACAGCGAGAGCGCTTCGACACGCACAATCTCCGCAGAGGGTTCGCCGAGACTAAGACAAATTCGTACGGCGCCACAGCGAGAGCGCTTCGACGCGCACGATCTCCGCAGAGGGTCGCGCGCGGACCGCAGAAATCGTAAAAAGTCCTCAGTTTTTTTAACCTCGACCACGCGAATCTCCGCAGAGGGGTCTGCCAAGGTCAAGGCAGATTCGCCCGGGACCACAGCGAGAGCGATCCGACACGCGCGATCCCCGCAGAGGGTTCATCGGGCTCACGACAGCTTCGCACGGAACCACGGCGAGGGCAATCCGACACGCAGGATCCCCGCAGAGGGTGCGCCAAGGTCAAGACAATTCGCACGGGACCACAGCGAGAGCGCTTCGACACGCACGATCCCCGCAGAGGGTGCGCCAAGGTCAAGACAGATTCGCACGGGGCCACAGCGAGAGCGCTTGGACACGCACGATCTCCGCAGAGGGCTCGCCGCGACCAAGACAAATTCGCACGGCGCCACAGCGAGAGCGCTTCGACGCGCAGGATCTCCGCAGAGGGTTCGCCAAGGTCAAGACAAATTCGCACGGCGCCACAGCGAGAGCGCTTCGACACGCACGATCTCCGCAGAGGGTTCGCCGCGACCAAGACAGATTCGCACGGCGCCACAGCGAGAGCGCTTCGACACGCACGATCCCGCAGAGGGTTCATCGGCTCAAGACAAATTCGCACGGCGCCACAGCGAGAGCGCTTCGACACGCACGATCTCCGCAGAGGGTTCGCCGCGCTCAAGACAAATTCGCACGGCGCCACAGCGAGAGCGCTTCGACACGCACGATCTCCGCAGAGGGGTGCGTTTCGTAAGCTCCTGTCGGGCCTACCCCCGCCAGAAAAAGAAGAAGAATTAAGAGTCGAGAAGTGAAGGTAGAACAGAAAAGTTAGCTTGTGTTTTTAGGATAGTGAAGTAACACCCGACAAATTAGCTTGTGCTTTTAGTAGAATGAGATAACAGCCGAAAAGTTGACATGAGAAGTTGGCAGGTGAAGTAACTCTCAAAAAGTTGACATGAGAAGTAGGCAGGTGAAGTAACTCTCGGCAAGTTGAAGTAACTCTCGACAAGTTGGCATGAGAAGTTGGCAGGTGAAGTAACTCTCGACAAGTTGGCATGAGAAGTTGGCAGGTGAAGTAACTCTCGACAAGTTGGCATGAGAAGTTGGCAGGTGATGTTGGCAGCCGCTTTTAGAAGAAGAACCCTTCGCAATGCTTCCGGGAAAAACCTAAATTAAATCTCGACCCTATCCCCATCTCTGAGGCACCAAGCAGACAGAGGCAGAGCAGCGCGCCTGGGCGAGAGTTGGCCATGAGGGGTGAAGCATCAGAGCTCGCCACCGGAGCTGCATCGTTGCCTGTTTCCCGCTCACATGTCGGTGTTTTGTCGGCTAGCTGGTTCAACACCTTGTACGCAATGATTAGCGGATTCCGGAGTATGCGGTTTATGGAGTTGAACATGCGTCTTGCGGATTGCAATTTGCAGATTATGGGTTGCATGGATTTTCGATGCTCCGGCACCACCACAATTTGCAGCGCGGATTACGGATTAAGCAGATTTCCAACAAAACAAGGATTATGCAGATTATTGATTATTGATTTGGGCCACCGGATTTCGAACAGGCTAGTGTGAGGAAGCTGGCCACCTTGCATGCTTTCAACATTTGAGCTTCTCAGCAAAAGTATCCGAGTGCGCATTTCCAACAACTCGGAAATCGAGAGCTCCGAGGTGAAAAGCCGTGACTTGCAGTTCACGTCTCCAGATGTGTGGTTGGGCAGGCCGCATGATTGTCAGCAGGAATCCGACCCTTGAAAGTGGCGGTCTATGTTGGCGGTCGGCAACAAAGTACAAATACAAAAGCAACATAAAGCGATGCTGGCTATGCTCCTTGCTTCAGGGGTTGATTTCTCAATCTTTGTGGGGGCCGGGGGTGGGGGGGGGGTTCATGACTTTCTGGGTGTTTAAAAAGGTTGCCATTGTTCATATCTTGGCAGCAGCTGTTGGGCCGTACATGTGGTTGTTGGGCTGGCTAGCTTTCGTTCACCCGCCTCTGCAACCAGCCCCTTTCAAGGGGCGGGGACACCACAATCTTGTTTGAACCAAATTTGTTCACTATGCTTGAGCATGTGCCCTATTCTCGATGTTGGATATCGAGGCGTGGGTCAGCTGGAAGAGCAAGTGCAAAGTGCAGAGCGCACAGCAGCTGAGGAAGGCTGGGCACAAAACCCAGGGCGGGCATTTGTTGCGCTGTTTCTATCACGTAGGGGTCAACCCTTGAAGTTGAGGCCCAGTCAGTGGCTTTCATGGAGGGTTGTGAGTGGGGCTTCCGTTTTTTTTCCCCAGCAGAGTTTGATGACAGCAAGCCTCGGATTGTTGGCTGGGTCGCGTCAGGAATCAGGTCGGTATTGTTGCGCCGGCTGAGGCAGCAGACTCACCGACGCGGAGCAGCGCAGTTTGGCAAGATGTGGCAAGTTGGCGAGCCAGTTCTATGATGGGCGGTTGCAGGTTGACCTGCCATCCCTGCAATCGGAGTGGTTCAGAGCTTGCGTTGACAAGATGGCTGAAGACGCATTAAGTCATTCCTCCTTCCGGATTTAACCAGTAAGTTTCATGGGCTCAGGCCTAAGTCAGCTGGAAGAGCAACTGCGAAGTGCGGAGCGCAGCCAAGCAGCTGAGGAAGGCAGGGGCAGGGGTGGTTCCAGGGGTGAAGGGTGGGCGGCAAGGGTAAGAAGTGTTCACGCTGGCATCTTCCGACTGTTCGAGGACGCTATTGCGAACCTAGGCTGGGGCGGGTAGACAAAGCTAAAACTCGCCGAAATCTGCCTGAACATGCAGACTGGATTGATCTGGGTGGCACCCTTGGTGCACCCTTGGCTCGGGGCAAAAGCCTGCAAGTTGAGGTTGCAGTTCTTGTCAGGTGTTGGAGCAATGTTGCCGCTGCAGGGGTTGATGAAATGGTGTGCAAAAGGCAGAGCTGATACAGGGGACCAACTGGACTTCTGGCCCTGTTCGCTTCAGGCGTGAGGTCTAAGTATTGGCAGCTGTGCCGGCTGAGGCAGCAAACTCACCGAGGCGGAGCTGCGCAGCTTGGCAAGATTTGGCTGGCCACATGGCCTGTGCCGTGTCTTGGCGCTATGATGGACGGTTGCATGTTGACCTGCCATCCCTGCAATTAGAGTGGTTCAGAGCTTGTGTTGACAAGATGGCTGGAGACGCATTGAGTGGGCTCAGGCCTGAGTCAGCTGGAAGAGCAACTGCGAAGTGCGGAGCGCAGCCAAGCAGTCGAGGAAGGCAGGGGCAGGGGTGGTTCCAGGGGTGCGGCAAGGGTAAGAAGTGTTCACGCAGGCTATTGCGAACTTAGGCCGGGGCGGGTAGACAAAGCTGAAACTCGCCGAAACCTGCCTGAATATGCAGATTGGATTGATCTGCGTGGGCACCCTTGGTGCACCCTTGGTGCACCCTTGGCCCTTGGTGCCCCTTTTGTTCACCCTTGGCTCGGGGCAAAAGCCTGCAAGTTGAGGTTGCAGTTCTTGTCAGGTGTTGGAGCAATGTTGCCGCTGCAGGGATTGATGGAATGGTGTGCAAAAGGCAGAGCTGATACAGGGGACTAACTGGACTTCTGGCCCTGTTCGCTTCAGGCGTGAGGTCTAAGTATTGGCAGCTGTGCCGGCTGAGGCAGCAAACTCACCGAGGCGGAGCAGCGCAGCTTGGCAAGATTTGGCAAGATGGACGGTTGCATGTTGACCTGCCATCCCTGCAATCGGAGTGGTTCAGAGCTTGCGTTGACAAGATGGCCGGAGACGCATTAAGTTCCTCCTTCCGGATTTAATCAGTAAGTTTCATGGGCTCAGGCCTAAGTCAGCTGGAAAAGCAACTGCGAAGTGCGGAGCGCAGCCAAGCAGTTGAGGAAGGCAGGGGCAGGGGTGGTTCCAGGGGTGAAGGGTGGGCGGCAAGGGTAAGAAGTGTTCACGCTGGCTATTGCGAACTTCGGCCGAAACTCGCCGAAACCTGCCTGAACATGCAGACTGGATTGATCTGGGTGGGCACGGGGCAAACGCCTGCAAGTTGAGGTTGCAGTTCTTGTCAGGTGTTGGAGAAATGTTGCCGCTGCAGGGGTTGATGACATGGTGTGCAAAAGGCATTGTTCGCTTCAGGTGTGAGGTCTAATTATTGGCAGCTGTGCCGGCTGAGGCAGCAAACTCACCGAGGCGGAGCAGCGCAGCTTGGCAAGATTTGGCAAGATGGACGGTTGCATGTTGACCTGCCATCCCTGCAATCGGAGTGGTTCAGAGCTTGTGTTGACAAGATGGCTGGAGACGCATGGAGTTCCTCCTTCCGGATTTAATCAGTAAGTTTCACGGGCTCAGGCCTAAGTCAGCTGGAAGAGCAACTGCGAAGTGCGGAGCGCAGCCAAGCAGTTGAGGAAGGCAGGGGCAGGGGTGGTTCCAGGGTGAAGGGTGGGCGGCAAGGGTAAGTTCACGCTGGCTATTGCGAACTTAGGCCGCAATTCGCCGAAACCTGCCTGAATATGCAGATTGAATTGATCTGGGTGGGCACCCTTGTTGCACTCTTGGCCCTTGGTGCCCCTTTTGTGCGGGGCAAAAGCCTACATAGTTGAGGTTGCAGTTCTTGTCAGGTGTTGGAGCAATGTTGCCGCTGCAGGGATTGATGAAATGGTGTGAAAAAGGCAGAGCTGACACAGGGGACTAATTGGACTGGCCTTGTTCGCTTCAGGCGTGAGGTTTAATTATCGGCAGCTGTGCCGGCTGAGGCAGCAAACTCACCGAGGCGGAGCGGCGCAGCTCGGCAAGATTTGGCAAAAGCTGGCCACATGGCCTGTGCCGTGTCTTGGCGCATGATGGACGCCTGCCATCCCTGCAATTGGAGTGGTTCAGTGCTTGTGTTGCAGGCCTGAGTCAGCTGGAAGAGCAACTGCGAAGTGCGGAGCGCAGCCAAGAGGTTGAGGAAGGCAGGGGCAGGGCAGCATGGCTGAGGGGGCGTTCAAGAAGGGAACATGTTTCTGAGGGTCCTGTGCGGGGGTCTGACAATTCTAGCATGCAGCATATGCTTTCTCTCGTAGTTGCTTGTCAGGTATTTTTCAAATTGCCCGCACTCTGTAAATGAATGAAACGCACGCGCGCAGGTCTGTGTGTGTGTGTGCGGAGTGGCAGAATACCCTGCCACCACCTTTAGGTTCTGGCTGTTATCGCAGGGGGGCAAGGCCTCCAGTGATGAACCTTGCCCAACGAAGCTGCATCACTGGAGGGGATGCAAGGCCTGATCAGCCTTGTGTACCTGCAACATTTGAGTGATTCTGAAAGTCTATTTGGCCCTCTTCTTTTGCCGCTGTGTGTGCTTCATGTTGAATCTTGTAACGTTTTCGACACTAGAGGGAAGCCAAGTGACCTGCCAGCCGAAACTATTACTCGAAGACCCACTCAGCACGTTGATGAGTACCCTCCTTCGGGAGTTCAAGTGTGATCACCCCATCTTGGGGGAACCTCGGGTGTACCCATCGTGTGACCCCGGGCCGGTTCGCCGGAAAATTTGACCTCAACGTTCTTATCATAGACCAGCAGAATTTCACGTTTAAGCAGGAACGAGGTTTCACTAACGGGAAGACAGCCACCAGATCATAGTGACGTCTCACGGGCGCCTGGGCGCTGCTTGCCGATCTTTTCATGCTTTGCCTTGTGTTGATTTGAGCTTGACATGATCTTGCGTTGTCATGAAATTGAAGCTTGTCGGTCTTAGTCTTTCTCAAGGTTGATTTGTGCCATCACCTGGGTTCGCTGAGTCGTCATGTCCCGCCGTGATGATCGTGACAGATCCAGAACTCGACGTAGACGGGACAACGAGAATATGACACCGCCATGGTCTCGGACGGCATGGATTGGTCCAACCCGATGATGTGGCAGCACAATCCGAACATCAATCCTCCCAGTTCCATGCCGCAGTCGCAGACCAACTACCTGCAACCTCCTCCTCCTCCGTTGGCGCAGTTCCATCATTCAGCGCCGTGCTTTCACCAGTACCCGCCGGTTAACTACTCAATGCCGTTCCCTCCAGAGCCTGAACCCACCAAGAACATGAAGACGACAATGGTGCTGCCTGACAACACACAAGGACGTCACCCGGAACCTGCGGCAGCAACAAGCCACCCGGCTCCGTTACCATTGCAGCCTAAGAAGTCATGGCTCATCCCACCGGGGTTGTGGCAACCCGGTGAGGGCTTGCTGGACAAGAAACCCCTATACCTCCTCACAGCTCGCAACGTGAGATGTCGGGCATGGACATTCGTGACGTTTGCCTGGTTCAGGTCATCCACGGCGGCATTTCGAGCTGCTGAGACCGTTTGCACATGGACGATTTGTGACGTGGGAAGGGTTTCGTACACGCACCGAAGCCCTGCTTTGGAGTACTTGCTCGAAGCTTCTTCGCCGATCCCAGCCCCTCAACTTGCTCACTTTGGAAAAGAACCTTGCAGGTTCGATGGGCCTCAACATTGATGACTTCAACCAGCGGATTAAGGTTCATGAGCACCTGGGCAATCTCATTCTGGAATTCCTGAATCAGCATCATCAAGCGCGAACATGAGCTACTCCAAGCACAGTACTCAGCATCACAGCGATCGTCACATCCTTCTACGGCTAACATCCGCAATGACGATGCGGAGCTGGTCACACCACCGCCGCCGGTGAATCACTCGCAGTCTTGTACTCCCACCAGTTCCTTGCCAACGGTGAGTGCGGCCGCCCTTGATGGCAAGTCCTTCGATGCTCAACCTCAACACCAACCACGGATCATTCAATCACTTCACGGCATGTCGCCTCCACCTGCCAAGCAGGTCGCATTGAAGTTGCTGACAATGCACAGCACGCCGGAAGATATCATCAAGCACTACACCTGGACCAGTTACCAACCTCGCGTCTTCCTCAAGCAGGCTCCTACAACCACCGCTGTCCCGGCATTGATGAAGTGGGCCAATCACCCACCCCGCCTCAATGGCAACAAATCTCTGGATGCTATGGCAGTTCAACTTCAACAAGCACGTCAACGTTTGGCGAAAGGAGATGCGCCTACCTTTGCTTCCATGGCTTCTTGGTGTGGGGGCTTGAGCCTGTCTACAGCACCAAGCTCACGGACAAGGCGCTATGCCTGCTCCTTGTGCTGCTCGACTTCTTGCAGGATGAAGTGATCCTCTCACAGCCAGTATGAGCCCGGAGTGGCAGGCATCGTCGTGATTTGCGCTTGAAAACTTACATGACATTGCCTTGTTTGCTTGTCATGACTTGCACTTTGCCTTGAAATGCATTCGCCCTATTCATATGCATACTTGTCATCATATGTGTTTGCATGACTTGAACATTGGCTTGCGTTGATGCATGTCGCTGCCACCTTATAGCCGCTGTTGAACAATCTTGCAGCATGTGGACTGAGTTTCAGCGCAGTGGAATCTTCGATGAAGTTGTGCAATGGCGTGCTTTGTCCTGGAAACTTTGACGTTTGTCTCAGCGTGCTGGTGGTTTTGCTTCCCGGAACTACCTCGACCTCCAGTACCCGCAGATGAATTTGAATCAATTCAACACTTAGTTCACTTAGACATGATCCTGGAAGTGCTCACTCTTGTCCGCATCGCGCTCCAGATTCCGACGACAGCAGTTTCCCATACACGTCAAGCCGCGGCCAACAGATATGAGCTCCATAGATGCCGAATGACAGCATATCTGCTTGTTTGCTTCTTACAGCGACTTGTTTCGCAAGACAATGCATATATTCCTCCATTATTTGAAGTGCTTCATTTCTTTAAAACGTCGTTGCTTCGCGACGTCAATGTACTCTTCATTCGCAGATCAGCGGCACCTCAAATCACTCCGTGCTCGCCTTCCCGACCTATGTGACTTCATGCAAGATCCTGGACATCATCAACAGCCATGTGTCTACATTAGGCTCTCGCCATGGCGCAGCCCGTGCTACATTGGAGCCACAGATCAGGATGTCCTGCGCAGGGAACATTCCCGATGCCGCAATTATCTGCAACTCCTACGTGGCCAGCATGCTTTCTTTGAACCTGCGCTTCATTACTGGAAGCGAGCCAACAATTACTGGCTATTCTGTGCGAATTGAGATCCGACTCCCCACTTTTTCGGTGTGGGCCCAGGAAAGCAAATGGCAATACACGCTTTGACCGCACTTAAATGCTTCTGGGTGCACAGACTTCTTCGGAAAATTTGGTTTCGTGAACATTTAGTTGACTTCAGGCGGCACTCGATCTCATCGCCTACGTCGTTGTCGCTTCACAAATGCTTTCGGCGACGACTGCATCCGAATTTACATTGTCAACTACGACCTGAGATGCTGGACGACGTTCAGGCACACTACTCTACTTTGTATCAGCTTGGATATAATACTGGCGCGTCGTTCCAAACGATGAGAGACCTTCTCTCTGCGGCTTTCCCGCCGACTCAGCTTTATTATCTTCTGCGACTCACTTCATTTGTCAATGAGCCGTTCCGCTCCAAGGCCCAGAAGCTTCTTGTTCAGATCTTGCACAAGCGAAAACTCCAGGCGCCAGCCACTTTGACACAATGGCTACTTCCACCTTTACAGTACATGATCGAGACTGGAAAGCGCCGCTAGGAACCTGGCTACAACGGTGGGTGGCATCGCGTCGGAGTTTGTTCCCTTCATATATATTCCTTCCTAAGATCCGCGTCGTTGAAACCCGCAGTGCGACCCTGGGTGATCGTATTTACAACTACCGCAAATGGCAGCAAAGATGGACTCCGGACACTTCCTTTCCTTGCCGCTGCATCGACTTGGGCGATCTCATCAATGCCGCTATTGACTTCGACATTATGTCCGCTTCCATGAAGGATCAATACTTTGGTGATGTTGACAAACTTCAACAACGCTTCACTTCACAGCTTCGCAAATTGACTCGCAGATGGAGGGTGAAGGGTCCAGTCTTGAAGTTGATTCCCGGCCTGTCTTGCCTGAATTATTTGATGAGCATCGCTGCAATGTCCAATTGGACCTCGGAGTCGTTGCAACCAACGGCTCGTGCCCTCAATGCGTGGGTTGTCATTCCGGCTGATCATTTTCCTTCACGTGCTCATGTGATTTGCTCGGCCTTGTTTTCTGTTCTGTTGCACAAGACCTTTTGCGTTGGAAAAGTATTTGCATTATGCAGAGAACCTGCCGCCTCCTTTCGCGCGCAAGTAATCACTACGATACCTCCTCGACTACAACAACGATATGCGTGGGGACTACGACTTCAAGCTCCTCTTCCTACCGCACGCATTCTGCCCAAACCTACCAAGGACTGGCTCAAAGCGAGGCCAATCATTTCTTTTTACGGCCTTCGGGGCCCGCATCTTTGAGCTCACCAAAATCACTTTTCCGGATGTCCCGGGTCAGCTATCAATTCAGGATCTAGTGCATCAGCTCTGGGAAGCATTGTCTTCCGCGGACCCCACAGAATACATACAGTTGGTGTCACAGGACTTGTCCGGCTTCTTCACTTCTATTCCCACGGAGCGTTTTCATCAAGCTCTTCAAGTTCTCCTTCATCGATATGATCAAGTGGTTGGACTGCGTCTCCCACTGGTCTGTATATGAAGTCAAGTCAGACCATCGGCGGCGCATGTTCAAGGGCAAGTGGCGCTTTGTCCCACGGATTTTTCGTGAAGAGGATCTGCAGATGCTCCTCGACTTTGTCATCAACAACAGCCACTTTGAGATCAATGGATACTTGTTTAGACAGGAACAAGGCGTCGCAATGGGATCTCCGGCTGCTCCTCCTCTTTGCAATCTTGTTGCAACCGTTGAGGACTATTTCTGGCACCAGACCATGACTTCGCTACGGCTTCGACTGCCCGACTTTGGTGTGCTTTGGCATGAACGCTATGTGGACAATCGCTTCACTCTATTACGCAACGCTGCGCCGCCGTCGGCAGTCCTTGGTCA